TTTTCCTTATACCCAAAACTGAAAAATGCTAATAACCAGCTAAATTCAGATCCATACGTTTGTGTCAGACAATTTACAAAATTGTTGCAAAAATTCTTGTTAATTGTATCAAGGTTTTATTGCCTACTCCTATTTTTAAAGAGCAAGCAGCATTTGTACCTCACAGATCCATCTCTAGTAATTGCCTTCTTGCCCAGGAGATGGTCTATAAGCTTAAATGTTCCATGTCTTCTTCTATTCTTATGATTATTAAGATTGATATGCAACAAATGTATGATGAGATGAATTGGTTGACTCTGCACAAGATCATGGAGAATATGGGTTTTTCCAATAGATTTAGAGATTGGAAGAAGGGTTGCATTGAGTGCCAGAAATTCTCTCTTATTAATGGTCAAAGATCTCCTTGGATCATTGTTGAATATGGCTTTCATCAGGGTTGCCCCCTCTATCCGTATTTATTTATTCTTCGCTCTAAATTACTTTCCATTGAACTCTCTAGGAAAGCCCATCAATTTGGGATTAGCATTGCTAAGAATGGGCCCTTTCTTTCCTATCTTCTCTATGCTACTGATATTTTGTTATTTTCTAATGTTTCTACTCAAGCAATTAACACCTTTCTCAAGATACTTGATAGAAAATGAAGTTGGACGGTCAAAAAATCAACTTTGAGAAATCAATGGTCTTATTTAGTAAAGCTAATGCTAGTTGGAAGAAGAGAATCGCTATCATGCTTAATTTTCACAAGATTGACAAATTGAATAGCTGGGGATTCATGCTCTCAAATGACTTACAATGTGGATGTTTCCAATATTATTCAAAAAGCTGCCAACAAGCCTAATGCTTAGGGATTAGACATCTCTCTCTAGCTGGGACAAGCACTATTATTAACACATCTTTAATTCTGGTGCCTTCCTATCTAATTACTCATACTGAGGTGCCCAAAAGTGTGCCTCATGTTTTGGAGAAAAGCTGTAGAGATTTTTTTATGTAACAAGAGCCTTGCCAAAAAAAAGCTTACATTATATCTCTTGGGAGAAGTTATGCAAACAGACTAGATATCAGGGCTTTGGTTTCCATGCAACTTCTACATGGAAGAGACCCCTTCGTGCCAAAATTGCATGAGATTTCGTTAATGGTCATGTGCATTTGCATCGTAAGTTTTTGAAAAACAGATATGGACCTAATGTGTGGGCTCAAAACCATAACAGATACAATTTTATTACATGGAGAATCCTACAAGATGGGAGCTTCCAATCTTCAGAATATTTTTAGATGAAAAGCGGAAGATGTTATGGATATTGATATCATCAACCATGCATGGTTCTTTTGTCAGCAATCATAGTACAGAAAATCTGAAGGTGCCGGATTTCCTGCAGGAAAGTGGCTAGAATGTCAGTCGGTTATATCAATGCTTTGGGACTGACCTTGTGAAGAGGATTGAGCTTATTCCCGTGGATAATCAAACTCGCAAAGATCAAACGGAGCTGATCCGTAAGCTTTCAGGTAAGACAGTGATTGTTCTTTCTTATGAGCATATAAGTTTATCAAACAAAATGAGGTGTGCTTGGCTGGGGAAACAAATGGTCCATCCGAGAGGTTTTTCTGGTGGAGACTCGTTATGGATACAGTTCCTACTAATATTTGGCTCAATTCTAAAAGGCTTTCTGAAAATCTTCTTTATACTTGGGGCACTCAAGAGCATGAGGACAGATTTTACACTGTTGCCGAATGTAGAGTTCTCTTGGAAATCATACATAAACTAAAGATGTGGGGTTTTAGCATCACACATTTCAAGCAGCTTTGAGGATGATATTAATAGCCTTTCCATTACTACACAGCACAACCATATTATTACTACTATTTTTTGCAAAACTTTGTATCAAGCATGGCGTGGGTGCAATGCAAAGAAGCATGGCAAGCCTTACGCCACAACCACAATTATGGATGTCAATACTATTGAAACAATTGCAAGATCTCAAACATCTCCAAATCAAGAGCAATGGGACAACATCCAGCCGGACAGGCTGTTTTTCAACTATTATTGGTATCCCCCTTCTTGTTGGTTTAAGATTAATGTGGATTGCACCTATGATCTTCTCACTTGGCTAGCATTGGGGTTTGTTAGAGATGAGTCTGGTGTCTTGTAGCTGCTGGAATGAAGTTTGAAAACTAGGATATTTCCCAAGTGGAGTTAAAGGCTTTTATTTCTATAAAGGAGATCATTAATCCTTGGATACTCGAAGCCAAAGGTGTTATTACCAAAGGGGACAATAGTAACATTATTGAGCTTCTCAAGAAAATCATGGGCAGGCAAGTTTGGCATAACAAAATTGAAGGAATTCAGAATTTTGCCTGTCTTTCTCAGTTTGAACAAATGATTTTTTGGCTTGTGCATAGGAGATGTAATAAAGCAGCGCAAATTTGTGTTCACATTAGCCTATCAAAATAGTCTTGTTTTTAGTGAGGGTTTTGAAACCCATGCTTTGTATCCTATTATTTGTACGGTCAAGTGAAGTCTTTGTAGTGACTACTCGCACAACTTTTGTTCTCTTTGCACTAAATTTGTGTAATCCCTAACAAGATTGTGAATCCTTCAACAAGGTCATGATCCTAAACGACCAAATGTAAATGCAACTATACCAAGTATGCATGGACAACTTAAATTCACAGAGCCTAGAACTACCCAACAAGGAGTATATGGAAACTATCCTGTCTTTCTCAGTTGAAACAAGTGAATTTTTGGCTTGTGCATAAGAGATATAATAAGGCAACGCACATTTGTGTTCAAATTAGTCTTTAAATTTTTGGCTTGTGCATAGGAGATGTAATAAGGCAGCGCACATTTGTGTTCAAATTAGTCTTTCAAGCTAGTCTTGTTTTGAGTGAGGGTTTTGACACCCATGCTTTGTATGCTATTATTTGTACGGTCAAGCGTAGTCTTTGTAGTGACTTGTGGCGCATTTTTTTTTCTCTTCATTCATTTTTTAATGCAATTTCCTAAAAAATATTCCACAATTGTACTAAATTTGTGTAATCACTGACAAGATTTTGAATCCTTCAACAAGGTCATGATCCTAAACGACCAAATGTGACTGCAACTGTACCTAATATGCATGGACAACTTCAATTCAAAGAGCCTGGAACTATCCAACAAGGAGTATACGGAAGCTAACCTGTCTTTCTCGGTTTAAACAAGTGAATTTTTGGCTTGTGCATAGGAGATGTAATAAGGCAACGCATATTTGCGTTCAAATTAGCCTTTCAAGGTAGTCTTGATTTGAGTGATGGTTTTGAAACCCATGTTTTGTATGCTATTATTTGTACGGTCAAGCGTAGTCTTTGTAGTGACTAGTGGCGCATTTTTTTTCTCTTAATTCAATTTTTTATGTAATTTCCAAAAAGATATTCCACAATTGTACTAAATTTGTGTAATCCCTAACAAGATTTTGAATTCTTGAACAAAATCATGATCCTAAACGACTAAATGTGAATAAAACTATACCAAGTATGCATGGACAACTTAAATTCACAAAGCCTAGAACCATCCAACAAGGAGTATACGGAAACTAACCAACTGCATCAAATACATTGAAACTCTCTTACGCCCAAAAATCTATGGAGGTTGTTCAAATTCTATCAAAGCTCCTACGCTAAAAATCAAGTCCTTACCATCCCTCTATGGGGAAAACTTTATATTTGACCTAAAAAGTACGGCATTTTTATTGGTTAAACTAGAATGTCACTAGTGTTATTGCCACGACATATGCCATCTGCATTTGTCAACAAATTCCATTAATTTCAAGAAGCCCAAAACCCCTATCAAAGACATGGGAATCGAGCAAACCCACCCTTACATAAAAAGAACGTCAAGAACATCAAAATACATGCTCTAATCTTCGGTTCAAAAATTTCATATCACAAAATTGGTTGGGATCCATTCTAAATTGTAATCCTAATAAACTATCTATGTTGATGTTTAAAGAATGGTTGTAATTAGGATCTTGGCCGACTATTTTTCTTTAAAAATAAATTCTATTTTTCTTTCAAAATATACTCCAATAAAAAGATAAATGAAGTTAATTTTCTAAGAACTTATAATAATCTATCAATAAAATCTCCAAAAAAACAAGTTGGGCTTCTTCCCCTTATTCATTACCTCGACAAGAACGCATTACAATATAAAACTCAACCCAAGTTTCTCAATGATGAAAATATTCAAATTCACTATCAACGCACTGTTGTGAGAGGTGCAAATCATTACCAACAAAATTTATACTTAAAAAAATATTCCACTAAGACAATGAGTAAGGAAATAGTATAATGCCAATATTAGAGTTTTCCATTATCTCAAATGCATAAATGTTTGATCAATAAAAAACATTTGGATTGAACTCCCAACACATAATCCACTACCTTATCGTCAAACTCACACACAAAAATGAGGTCTCGGTAAAGAACTTAGAATATATACTCGCCACTATCACTTTATACATAATAAATGGTCAACGTAAAAAGTTCAAATTAAATTTGTTGCACGTTGAGCCAATGCCTCAACATCAAAATATGAGATGAACAAAGTGGCTCAGTTCGAAACATTTTGAGTGAGTTTATCAATATTACCACAAGAAGCTTGACATAAAGCACACACACAAGCAAATGATGATGGATTCACAGATGACCACCTCCTTCGATATGAGCCCATATTCCATGCACAACTAGCCCATACGAGCTTACATAGCTCTTACACTATTGATTTCAAAAATGTAACAATCATTTAGAAAGACAATGACAACTCATGAAAATCAACATTAAAGGACTGACAAGCAACTGGACAACTTTCAATTAATACTTGATAAAGAACAAGTAAGTCTTTATTGGGAACAAAATCTTTTGTTTACTTAATCAATAAGTTGCCAAACAAAACAGTCACCAACTATGTGGAGTGTAAACTGTGAACAGTTTAATCTCGCCTTGTAATCTATAATGATAAAGAAGCAAACCTGGAGGTTGCAGCTCTGTCCCACAAATACTCTCTACCCATCATGAAGTAAATTTCTTCACCTTGGCACGTCACATAAAATATATGCTCTTTGCCCCTCTTTTAATATGGAGTTTTGGAAAACTCTGAATTTTCAAAATTAAAAAAAAAGATCAGAGAAATGTATATGTAAGAAACCAGCTGAAAAAATACCAAAAAGAAAATTATACTCCATTAGAAGGATATGCGTTTGTATTAGATTTTATGTATAGCCATCCACTTTCTATCATTTTAATTCATTTGTACAAACAAAAAGATTTACTGATACAACAAAATGCTGCAGACAAATACAGTCAATTCAAATCTATCCATATCAACTACATCACTTTTTAAAATTTTAAATGCTCCCAGCCTTTCAATTCAATTCCATTCAATCGTTTGGACAACGCTCAAGTTAACTCCATCATTGCTTATGAGGATAATACACGCAAAAAATAGAAAATACAAAACCTGCCAGTCACCAAGTTGCATGAGCTAATGAGGCAATAGTTCACCTCAAATACTCTTAAAATAAATGGCATAAATACTCCGAAACATGCCCTGCAAGATTTAAACAGAGTAGAAGACGGTACCTGAATAGAAAACGGTGACTCCTTCACTGCAAGAGGAGAAACCGCAACGGAAATAGGGGAAAATCAAATCGTCAACCGCTGTGAATCGATCTGGCGTTGGAGATGTAGATCTGGCGGTGACGGAATGATCCCGAAGAGAGAACAAGAAGCTACCAGTGAAGGGCAGTCGAGTTCTCGCTGAAGAAACCTGCTTCAAATGTTCCTTCAAAGCAGTATTCCCTTCTCCGGAGAATTCTCGGCGAGGGCTCCAAACACTGGACGTGGTATTGAGGTTGGCTAGTCCAGGATCTGGGTCCTTTCCGATTAGCCTGGTACTGGCAGACCCCCAGTGCTTTGTTAGGGAAGGACGCCAGGGTTTTGGGATTTACAGAGGGCATGGGTAAATTGGAAAATATTTGGGGGTTATTCAGCAGGTACTCGGGTTATGTCCATGTTATATCCTATATAACTTCTCTTTAACTTACCTGTAACGTAAAAATAAGTTCTGTGTTTTTGTAGTTCTGACAGTTACAAGTAAGTTATAAAAAGGTTACAGTGGGTATAATGCGGATATAACTCCCATGTATCATCTTAATAACCTCTGGCGTACGCAGCGTTGCGTAAGTCAAATATTTTCCCAAGAAATTTTACATGCATGGTAAAACCTCCTCCCAGTTCATATATATTTATTTATCTAAAATATAATTTTTCTATTTACACTTTTAACCTCTTGTGTAAAATAATTTCACTTGAGAAGATGTTAGGATTTGAGCAGTGTCTGTAAATATGAAGTTTAGATATTGGACATGTGAATATATAAGAATTGAATGGTATGTAAATGCACTTAAGGTGTGCTTTCAATCAAGAGGTTGGTAGTTTAATATTTGATAATAAAATTGATCAAAAGTCAACAAAAAGATATTAATTATTTAAATCTATGGTAATTTTATTATCACTCTACCAATAATTTAAGATTTGAGCAGTGTTTGTAAATGTCAACAAAAATATATTAATGCTAAAAAGTTAAATTATCACTCTACCAGTACAAAATTTATGGCACATAACAATCTTAAACATCCATTATTTATAAATAAAGTTTTTTTTTTTACATCTATGTTGATATTAATGAGGAAAATCATGAAATCTTTCATAAAAATTATATATTTTATAAATGAATCCTCTAAATAAAGGGTTCGTTTGATTACATCATTAATATATATTTAATTAAAGAAAGGTAAGTGTTGATAAGCCCAAACCATGCAAGTAATGCACGTTCAAATAAAATAGATGGTGACATGCGAATCTCGATAATGAGTCATACTACGTTATAAATCCTCATAGTAACTTACCCTTCTCTTCAGCATTAGTCCTACATCTTCAAATCATCTAATCTCTCCCCCTTAAGCTCCTTTCTAGATGAGAGGGTGTGAGTATGAAGAAGAAAAAGATGAAAACCAAGTCGAATCGTTACAATGATGTATGAGATGTATCACCCTCTCCCCCTTAAGCTCCTTTCTAGATGAGAGGGTATGAGAATGAAGAAGAAAAAGATGAAAACCAGGTCGAATCGTTACAATGATGTATGAGATGTATCACCTGTTATTGAATCTTAAACTCTCTATTCCTCTCTTTTTTCTTCTTTATTGCCTATATGTTATCAATAATAGCAATTTCTTTTCTGCATTTATTGAATATATTTTAAGAAAAAAATGTGCTCTGATAGTTTCTCAATAGCAACTCTGGAACTCTTAGCTCTTGATCATCCTAAGAAAATTTTGCTTTATTAATTTGGTTTTTCAGCCTTACACAAAAAAAATTAATCCTTTCATTATTACTCTTATCTTGCATAGCATCATGAATATGCTTGAGTTTTGATGATGTTATAATCACATTGTTATAAATGTTTGTGACTCAAAAGTTCAGACCAAGACAAGTATATCATAAAAATCAAACATAGTGTGATGCTCTTATCATAGTTAATCAAAAGTAAAATAAAAATATTGATGATTTGATCGATTAATACTATTATTTACAATATTAACTTAAGCATAGATTTTATGAGCCACATATGAATTACTATGTGCTTGATTTGTGAGAAGCTTAACCAGCTTAATTGCACTAAATATATTTGATAATCATACTTTTCAAGATGAGGAAACTCTCATCAAATTAAATTTGGCGCATGTAAGTTTTACTTTGATTTTAATAGAAAAATTCAAATTTCATGATTTAAAATATGAATAATCATATATATATTTTTTACCTTCTTGGGTAATCAACTATTCTCAATACCATATCTAAAGAACATGAATGCAAATATCGAGCAATGAACAATCTAATAGATTTACTTGTTCACTAGAAATGTTAACAATTGATGCAAGTGACAACTTTAATTAAGCATGTTGTAACTCAAAATGATGCATAGAAAAATCAAACAATTAGAATAAAGTTAAAACAAAGAAGTGGTAAGCAAAAGATCAAGGCTTAGATAGCTAGCAAGAAGTAAGAAAAATGGCTTCAAACTTATCTCTTAAGAAATTTAGAACAAAATGTGTGACTATAGATGGGCTAGAAAATTATGATTTTGATACTAAATATACTAATTCAATTGAAGGGATTGAGTTTTCAAGCTAAAAGGAAAGTGCTCAAGTGATTGGGGAAGAGAAAAATACGATTGTGCATCAATATATTATAGGAAATTTATAGACAATATATAATTCTTATATTGTTACATTCTAATAGTTTGGTATCATACACTTACGCGCGAAAATACATTTTACTTAGAAATAGCAAATAATTGGGAGATTATGTGATATTAAATATTTGTATACAATGCATAAATATGAAAATTTAGATGTTAGATAAGTAAATACAAAATAATTGTGTTATGTATGCATGGATTTACATATCTAACATCTAATGTCTGATGAATACATTTATAACAGTTTGATATCATAAATGATCGAAACAACATATTTCACTTTTTAAAAAGTTAATTATAATAATAATTTTAATGTGATATTAAACTTGATGCCCTGTCACATACACATTTGCACTCACCCCAAACACCTCAATACATCCAAAACCATCTATTTACCTAAATTGACCTATCTCCCCCTTGGAAGCCCATAACACACTTCCTAACTCTTTTGAAAGATCATGTAGATCGCAAATGCACTTCGCGATCCATCTTTGTTAAAAAAAAAACTTATATTTAAACTAGTTGGCTTGACTAGAAGAACTCGATGCTGCCAAAATTGATCCAATTTTGAGTCAAATCAACCCCAAATCAAGTTGTTAAACCATTTATTTAGGCTTTAGTTGGTTATTATAGGGTCAAATGAACTACAAATTTGACATTCATAGAGTTAATTAAAGTGTCTAGATGAGAGGAATTCAACGAGCCGAATATCACCTTATTCAAACTTCATTAAGGTTATGAGATCATCAAAAAAGTTTAAGGAGAATCAACGTGGGTCGTGCGATCGAGTAATTATGGTGGTTATTCGCCTAAGTACAAAAATGCCTCTCTTTTAGGGTCTATAAATATATCTTTGCTCTTCACTTGGACATGACGGAAGAGAAAGGAGAAGGAGCCCATTTTCAATTTTGTTATATACTAAAGTCCCAACGATAACAACTGACCTCAATAACCGCCGCTCGTCAATTACCTTCAAACACCATCGGTCGCCTTATGCTCACCACCGTTGATGCACTTTGCAGAGTAATAAAGTAGTTTGTGGGGTAATGATGAGCATTGCTAAATAACAAAGTGTCCTATGTAGTAACAACGCACATTTGTAGGAGTAATGAAGTATGCTGCCTAGTAATGACACATATTGTGGAATAATGAAATACTCTATTAAGTGATGAAGAATTCTGCATAAGAAGAAACGTGATATTCTAAATATTATGTAGCAACTCAACTGGAACATGTTATTTTGATGCTATCTTACTACCTTTATACTCAGAATGTGGTGACTTTCTCCAGAATTTTGAAGTTATTGCCTTACATCATATATCGACAAGTGATGTCTTTGGTGTAATGATAAACCCAAGAGAAGGATTAAAACTACCAACCGATGTAGCATAAACTAAAGCCTTTAGAACCAATTGACAAAATTGTAGCTTCCCACTATAATCTATGTGGTTAATTGCTACTACAGCTCCTCACTACAACCTATGTGGCTAATTACTACTGCATCTCCCATATGACCTATGTGGTTAGCTGCTACTACGACTTCAACTACCACCTCTGCAGTCAACTAAAATTCTTATAGTATCCAGTCGCCTTTGGAATGTGTTACCATCATCGCCAATTCTCGTCGTTCATGTTGTTGGTTAATGTCGTTGTTGAAAGGATTCACTACTTTGTTTATCTATTTTATTGTCCTATTCTCCGAATGTCTTGTTCTCTTTAGATCACATGGATGACCTTAAGATGTTAAGTAATTTGCAGGAAGAAAAAAAAGGCAGATGGAAATAGAAAACAAAAGAAAATGTCGTAGTGGTTTTGTTTATAGAGAATTCAGTAATGTCTGATTTCTCAGATTCTCGTGCAAAGAAAACCACATGTAAGTTTCACAATAAGAGATTTAGGTGCAAGAACTATTCTCGGTTCTTCAATACTCTTATAAGAACAAGCTCCTATAGTTAATTATATCTTAAGTAGTTAAAACTACTCAAGAAAACTCCCAATTAAAACTAATGTTTGTTTTCAGAGAAATTTTAACTGTCAAAGTCAAGGAAAGAACATAAATGTTTGAGCCTAGGGTAAAAGATTTCTAAGAATCTGATTCTATCCTAAAGGTTTTGTTTTGTCATTTTATTTTTGTCATTTTTTTGTTATTTTATTTTTGTCATTTTGTTTTTGTCATTTGATTTTGTTGTTTTGTCATTGTCGTTTTGTTGCCTTGAGGTTCATCTTTTCCATTTCAGAATGTTGTCCGTACAAAATAGAGTTAGCACACCCTAATAACATGCAAAGTAAATCTAAAGTGTAATTTGTCTCATGTCTTCAACAAACCTGCAAAACAAAACACGATTAGTCATAAAATCATGATTTAATTTGTCAATTTAGTTGGATGAATAGTTCTTAGATGATTCGGTCAAGATGTCTATGGCTCCATCATCCTGGGTTCGTAATAGTATTCAAATCTACTTAGCCCAAAAGGTGTTTAAACTAGGACCAGAAGATTGTTATCAACAACCACATATTGTGTCGTCCAAGAGATCTTCATAGACCTGAACACAAGTGTTCAAGTTGCATTCAGTGATCTTTGTTCATTAGGAATCAATTTAAGTTTTAATGCCTTATTCGGATTTTAAAGGTCGGAAAGTTTTAGGTTGTTTAATATTTATTAACCGATTAAATTTTGTCATTTATTTTTATTTAAGAAGACCCGATCAGGATCCCATGGTTTCGTCGTCTCGGGTCATTATGTTTGCTGTTTGATTAGCCACAAGTGGCTGGAAGATGTTTTGTTACCAATCATAAGTTACCTCCTCCAAAATATCTTCTCAAATCTAGTTGC